CCACAACTAGACTGAAGAACAAAAAACGACAGCAACTTGTCTGTTCCCCTTCCCCCAATTCCCCAGCACTGTTCCCATCCCCCCAATTACCCAATTACCCAATTAAAAAAAAAATGGGGGTGGGGGTGGGTGAGTTCTCCAAGCGTATTTTATAGGAAGACAGAGTAAAAATGATTGTTTCCTATGTGGCATATAAAATTCTTATTTTTTTCTTGACATTATTGCAAAAGTAGTATCAATTTCTACATTCTTTTGAAAAATGACCATCATTCCTGAGTAATAACAATTGCATTTTAGAGGTCATGGCAACATTCTCCAAGAGCCCTACTGGTCCCAAAGGCATCCACTTTGATCACATTCTGTTACTAATTCCAAGTGTTACTTTAGAAAGTCTCTCCTAGTAAAAACAGGGCAAGGAGCTTGGATCTCCAAGGCAGGACTCTAATTCTGAATGAAGGAATATTCAAAACTAGGAAACAATACTAGGAAAGCACCAGAGGCACTTCTCATACAAACCGAATCATCTCTGTCCATCGAACAGCTTCCTGAAGCTCCATCAATCTCTCTTTATACTGGTTTCTCTCCATTAGAACGCGGGCCATTTCTACTCTAGTAAAACGCTTCCTCTGGGCTGTGGGAATATCACTCTATAATGAAAAGAAGACCACAGATCATTCTGGGATCATATATCTGTTTTGGTGTTATCTCAGGCTCCAGTAAAATCTTCAAGCTTTTAAACATTCCTTAATTTCTACTCTAATTGATCAAAGAAAAATAGCTTTATAAAAATAAAATCAATAGGGCCGGCTGAGTGGCTCAGTTGGTTAAGAGCTTGCTCAAGAGTGCTAGCTCTGAGCAACAGGGTCACCGGTTCGATTCCAGGCCTTAGCTGAGCTGCCGCTGAGCTGCCAACAAGTGGCAGGATGGCTCAGCTAAAAGACAAACAAATAAAATAAAATAAAAATAAAATCAATAGAGTTAAATAATTACTTATGACTGAAAAGATAAGAGGTAGACTGTGGGAGCATAGGCATATCCTACTCATGGCCATAGACATGTCTTCTGATTTTCTTTATAATACTATATCCACAGCTTAATTAACTAAGGCTTCCCCAAAATACCAAAATATGGTAAGTAAGGAAAAAAAGTCCAAAATTATAAACCTACATCATCATCATCTTTTGCTTTTTGCCTTGCATCTTCAGCTTCTGCACGAGCTCTAATGGGGAAAAACAAAACATGTTACGTGAGTTGAGTTTATGTTTTCAAAGAATGAAAGAGTGGGTCAAAATTTTTAACCACCACTAAATTGTTATTTTTCTTTTTCCAAACATATGATTTATTAAGCTGCCTTCATTTAGAGGAACGTTCCCATAGCAGTGTTCTCAGGAAGAAGAAAAAAACAAAAAAAAATAGGCACTAAAGAAAGCTGGGTGAAGGAAAACACTGTTTCTAATTTCCTTATTCGCAATATTTGAAGTTCTTCTGTCTTCACATCATGACAAACACAAAAGCGGTCATGTTCAGTAAATGCAGAGGCCATCGGCTGGGCACATCACCCCTCCCAGGCAGCTCTTGGCCCTTCCTGGTGGAAGGCTGAAGGCCTGAGTCTCAGGGTCATACCTCCCTTGGGGCACACTGGGAGGCAGTTTGGCTTAGAACGGCATAGTGGGAACTTACTTCCGCAGCTCTTCCTCCAGTTCTCTGTTCTTTTCCTCCAACTTCAGTTTGGCTTGTTTCACAGCCTCCAGTTCCCCTTGCAGCACATCTTTCTCACAGGTCAGTTCATCCACTTTTGCTATCAAGTCATTCTTCACTACATTCAAAGCATTTCTAAGAAACACATATTTCAAGTGCATCATTACAAATAAATATTCTTTCCATCTTTCAGCTTTTTGTCTTGTAGACGAAGTAACTATACAATCACAAAGCTGAATAATTCAACACTTCAAAGGTATCTATCTAATGTTGTTTGTAGATAAATGTAAAAAGAAATGCAAAGTAACAGTCTAATAGCATCCATAAGGGTACTGTTGTTAGTAAGTTCTGAAGATATTACCTATTCAATCAAGTTAATCCCTAAATTTACTTTTAATAATTAATGAGAAAAAAGGTCTGAACTGGAAAAAACTGGGGGGAAAAAAATCTAAAATCTAGTTCCTTTTGGGTATATTGGGCATAGGACCTTGTTATACCTGTATTGTTTTGGATAAAGACAGATGTTCCAAAGTTGCTCTGATACAGCAAATTAATAGTGGGGCACAATCTGCTTTTCCACCTGACTCAGGACCTGCCCCACTGTAAGATTCCAATGTGTTTGAGGGCCTAAGACACACAAATTATACCTGAGAACCTCCAACTCTGGAGGAGAGCTCTAAAGAGGTGGGCTGGGTTTGGGTCACAACATTTATGCAGAAATAAAAGAAACCTCAGGAAAAGAGATTAAAAAAAAATTCTGGGGAGGGATGACACATCAAAATATTAAGAGAAAGGCATGGATACTTGTAGAATGGAAAGGAAGTGAAAATCTCTGCAAACAACTGAGCAACGAAACATATGCATTGGTGAATTTAGGCCCCATGGTCTATCCGCATGCGCATGCGTGTGTATGTGTGCTGTGTGGAAGCATAAGCCCACACACAAGGAAGGGGAATGAGATGGGGCTGTGAGACTGCGTTAAGGCTGTGTTGCATTGAAGAAAATCACTCATTTGGATAAGAAGAAAATTCAGTGTCTCTTGTTCATTGTTACAATTTTATATATACTTACTTGGTTTCCAATAGTTGTGTATTTTCTAATATGAGATTCTCAACTTCACGGCCCATTCCTAGCAAAAGAAAAAGGACAAAAACTTTGAAAATAAATTTATCAAAAATTATATAAACATAATATAAGCTTTAGTTGCAAATTTTAGTCGATAAATTTTGTGTCCTTTAGCAATCTGTTTGTCTACAATTTCATTTGATATTACCTACTTGAGCGGATTATAAAATTATAATTATTCATCACAAAACAAAGCTAAAGATTTTGTTAGCCAATTCTTTACACCTGTTAGTCTGTATTGTCTCATAGGTAATATTTCAAAAGGATCAAGACTTTTCTGACAAATATTCTAAAATGTAGCAGTATTTAAGGGGGAAAAAGAATAGCATTAATATGGATCAGAATTCATATTACAAATGAGTTAGTACTGTAGTCTTTTGCCTAAAAATTAGGCCTTATTCATAGAGAATAGGCAGAAACAAGGCCAAAGAAAGACGGAACCCCAGTGCAGATGAAACCTTACCAAAGAAATTATGGTCTTAAAGCCCATGCATTCCATGTAAAGCAAAAACAAAGAACAAGAAATGTTTTATGTAAGAAACAGCATGAACATAGATCATTAGTCTGTCAAGTTTTATGCATGATATGAAAAACATCTGGAACCATAATGCTATGGTTTAGTGCATAATGGTGTGCAAAGGACAGGAATTACAATGATTTGCTTCATTCATAAGGCTGCTCAGAGAGGTTATACCTAAAAACATGCTTTACCAATTCTTTTGCATAATAAAATTGAATATAACTAGATTGAAACCCCCATATCAATAATATAAAGTTTCCTTCAAAGCACCACCTCTGAAATGATAATGTTCAATTATCACTTTATAGAATTGTTTAATAATTTAATGAGTACTGTAAGGTAGGCAGGTAGAGCATTCAATGCAAGATTCAATGTAGTGATCTTTTGGGAGAAGAAAGCTATTTAATTTGCTACTCATAAGAAACTGAAGAAATAAACATACTGGGGAACATATCTCAAAAAGTTACAAAAACGGGGCTGGCCAAGTGGCGCGTTGGTTAAGGACTGGCTTGGGACGCCAGCTCTGAGCAGCAGAGCCCTACTTCGGATCCCACATGAGGGCCAGTGATGCTGTGCCCTCTACAGCTAAGATGGTGAACAACAGCTCCACCTGGAGCTGGGATGCCGGGAGTCGCCGGCGACGGTGTAGGCTGCAGTGGGGCTGGTTGGCAGCTGGCGTGCGCTTTTGTGAGCTGCCGTCCAATGGTCGGCGAGCGACTGCCTCACCCGGGAGGAGCGCAATGATAATACCAACATGGGCCAGTGAAGCGATGTCCTCCACAACTAGACTGAAGAACAAAAGGACAGCAACTTGTCTGTTCCCCTTTCCCAATTCCCCAACGCTGTTCCCCTCCCCCAATTCCCCAATAAAATCTTAAAAAAAAAAAATTACAAAAACAAAAAAAAGCAATGCAAAACCAAAAACCCACCACTCATTTATCCTAAGCTAATGTTGGAAAATCTCATACAATATTCATAACCCAGATAAACAGGAAAAAAATATTTCTAAAGAAAACTACATAAGGTAAAAAAGAGTTAACATGTCTCCTTATTTTTAAAAAGGTAATGTTTCAAATGACTTAAAGATAATTTAACACAAAACCAACCTAGGAATGCTAAAAATTCAATGCTCACGTTTAGACCCATATTTTGTCTGTATTATAATTATCTCAAATATTCTCAAAGATCAGGGTACTTGTACAATGAAGAGTTAAATATAAGAAATAGCACTTATTTATCCATCTATGTATTCTCCAAAAACTGAAAATAAAGAAAAACTCAGTAAGTTTCCATATTCCAATTCGAAAATGAATTTTGGCAAGATATGTTGAAATATTTATTTTCAACACCAATATTAACTTCTCAAGTAAGCTGTAGAGTCAGAAAGAAATAAGGTTTAGACTGGTTTTAGAAAAGTTTATATAATGACTACGTTTGCTATAAACTCACTAGCATATAGGGAGATAAGCATAAAAGCTGAAAATATACACAGGGCAAAAAAAAATAGTTGAGCAGAAAAAAATGATGAAAAAGCACTAAATGAGAACAGCAGCCAAGAACACCTAGCTTAAAAAGCAGTGATATTAAATATTTAAAAGCATACACACCAGAATATTCCCCTGGGTAAGCAGCCCAAGAGAAAAATGAATGAGAATCTCAATTAGATTGTTTTCAGAAAGCAAGAACTATACTCATTTATTTCAAAAATGAGACAGAAGAGACAATAAAATTGAAAAGATGTAGAGAAATCATTAACTAAACACAAGAAAGTGTAAATATTATAAATATGAAAAAATTGAAATATCTAGTATATGGGAATCATATCCCATAATGTAGTTCCTACAGTTTGCACATTCCTAATGAAGAGTACTGGCCTATAAATTTAATATATCATCAATAGAACTGTCCAAAATTCTCGTTTGGAAATAGTTCAGTAAACACTAACTCATAACTATAAGAAAAACATAACTTGAAGTGGCCCCATTTCTATTCAAGACTTCAACCAAGCATAAACTTAGGTCTAACATATTTGGAAACTTTACCTATTAAAACAAGCAAAAAGCTGCCTGACAGTTTTCAAAATCACAGACATCTCATTTGGATTTTAGCACTGAGCCCTGCGCTAGGTCCCATAGATGGGCTTCCAAATTATCTGTTAATCTCTAGAGAAAGTAGGCAATTTTATCTAGTTCTGTATGGTCATTACCCCAAAAGTACACTGCTCTCTTACAAATTCTCCAGTAAAGGAGTTGTAACTCCAAAAGGTTAAGAATCACAGATTTACAGGTGAAACAAAACTGTTAAAATTACTTAGGAATCCATTCAGTTTCTGCACTACGTACTAGAAACTCAACAGTGAGAAAAAGACACAGTTGTCTTGGCCACAGAGCCTATGGTCTACTCAGGGAGACAGGTACATGCAAGTTATAGTAAAGAATGAAGAGCGGCATAACAAATAAAATGCAGTGCTATAGGAACACATTTCAAGGATAACTGCTTTGGGCTGGCCAAGGGGCGCGGTGGTTAAGGGCTGGCTTGGGACACCAGAGGGCCCTGATTCGGATCCCACATATGAGGGCCAGTGACACTGCCCTCCACAGCTAAAATGCTGAACAGCTCAACCTGGAGCTGGGCTGCCGTGAGTTGCCGGCTATGGCGTAGGCTGCAGCCCCTGTGGCAGTGGGTTGCCATGGGCTACCGTGTGTAGCCAGCAGCCAGTGTGAGCAGCCAGTAGCTGCTGTGAGCAGCCGTCCAGAAGCCGGTGACTGATCTGCCTCGCCCAGGAAGAGCGCAATGATGGTACCAACTTGGGCCAGTGAAGCAACATCCTCCACAACTAGACTGAAGAACAAAAGGACAGCAACTTGTCTGTTCCCCTTCCCCCAATTCCCCAGCATTGTTCCCATCCCCCAATTCCCCAATAAAAATCTTAAAAAGAAAAAAAAAAAAAGGATAACTAAGCTTTAACGAGGGGATCAAAAATTGCTAGAGGAAGTGTGCCACTTAAGCAGATGCAAGGAGTTTTGTTTTGTTTTTAAAGAAAGGGAACAAACAATCCTTTGTGATTGGTTGTGAGAGAAGAGGGAAAGGTCTAGGACAGAGGACTGAATGGATTGTGAGGTCATTCATTCATTGAGTTAGAACATGTTGATATAAGAACAGCCTTGGGGGACAGGACAAAAAGATGATGAACTGAGAGCTTTACACATATCAAGTGTAAGCCCTACAAATCACCTTTGAGGGGTCTATGGGCTGTTTGAAAGTAATAGTCAGGGAGGGGCTCCAGAAAAAGATTTTAGATGGAGATGAATACCTCTGGAGTAAGTGGCCATGAAAGCCAAGAAACAAGAGCAAATAAGATTTCCCAAACAAAGAAGCAGGCCTGGGACAGGAACGCTGCTATCTGAAAGATGGGCAGAGGAAGAGAAGCCTGCAAAGAAGACTGAAAAGCAACAGAGTCAGAAAAGAATGCTGGAAAGTCTGATATCTCAGAAATCCAGCAAAGACAGTTTTAAAGACAAATGGTATTTGAGAAGCCATGTGAAATAACTGAAAAGGAGCCGCTGGGTATAGTAAACAAGAAGGTTGTTCAGGCAAGGTGAGTGTGAGGGAGAACGCCCATTCAGATTGCAGGCGGCTGTGATACAAGTGGGACTGAGGAAATCCTGTCCATTGCAAGTAGCCACACTTTTAAGAAGTCTGTTTTGTTCACTGGTGTATCACAAGCATCTAGGGTGTAGTACCAAGCACGTAACAGACACCTCATTGATATTGCTACACAAAAGCATGACTAGAAATGGGAGAGGAGTGAATGATAGGGTGGGTAGCTACTGAAGATAAGAGGGTCAGAGGAAGGCAGTATTCTTATTTTTAAATGGTAAAGGCCTGAACATGTTTAAATGATGATAGGACATAGTAAAGACAGTAAAGTAGAAAATATAGAAAATAATCAAGAAAAAGAAAATCCCAACAGAAGGACATATGAATGTATGATTTCCAAGTTCTAGAATGTGGCCATGGGGAGTAAATGACTAAAGTGCATGGAGAAAGGAATCAAGGAAAATAAAGTCAAAGGGTGAAACGCTAACCAAGATTGTTTCTGTGAGGCAGAAATAGTAATCTAAGTACTGAGTGCATGTATGATTGCAAAAATTTATATCCTCCAACCAGAGGAGAGTTTTACAATAATACGGCCATTAGAAAAAGGAATGTTGAATTATAGAAATGGACTATGTACTTATTTATCAACCCAGGGTCAATGAACTTTAGGAAACAATTTTGTTAGTTTAACTATATTCCATTTACTGAGTATTACACCTCAATTGCTATCACTGAATTGTACAGAAGATAAGCCAAGAACAAACATGTGCCTTGGAAATTTCATTTAGTATCTTTGCCCAGAAAGTCTTCATGTAGGCATATGTTGCTACATTTATGGTAATATTTTTTAATCTTCTAACATGAAACATTCTAGACATAAATATATCAATATCTGCAAAAGAGAAAAGACAGTAGTTTACAGTCTATTTCTTATTTTCAAAGTGGAAAGAAAGGAAACCACAGTATTAGGATTTTGCTTTTCATGTATTTATTATGCTTAATTTTCTGACTTAAAGATGGAAGCTTTCAGAAGATACTTGATTTAAAAGACCACAATTATTTCTAAGTACTATATGGCTCCTTAACGCTTTACAAAAAAGAAAGTTTGGGCCACCATCTTCAAAAACCATATTACTCAATATTGGATGATGAGGCAGCAGAGTGTACAACTATTGGGTTGTCATAAAAGTCAAGACAAATTTTTTCTATGTTTTTCGATGCAAAAATGTGTCATGCCTTTTCCGACAACCCAATACATCACACAGTATTTCAATCTGATTAAATACAAAGAGGTAGCATGAAGGAAATTTTTTGGGTGATGTGTATTGTCTCAGGTGGTGGTTACACAACTCTATGCATTTGTCAAAACTCAAGAAATTCACCAAAAAGATTGAATTTTACTGTATATAAATTTGAATATAAATTTAAACATTTTAAAATCCTTCTTTCTAACATTTTTTGCATCTGTCCCTCAATTTTGCCAGGGAGTCAGTTTCTCAAACCAATCATATCTTAAAAGAAACTTTCCATGCATAATTTAATGTTAACAAAAGTATAAATTTAACTGTAAAAATGGAGTATTCTTTAAGGATTCATCTTTTAGCCTTTCTTGAGAAATGCAAACTCATTCAACTGCTTCCAATGTTTTACTTAGATTTTAATGGTGGAAGTCTATGTCTAACTCAGAATAGTTTTAAGTATTTTCAATCTCTTACTAGATAGAGTGTGAGCTCTGTTTGGACAGAACTTATGTTTCCTTCAGAAAAAACTTCCAACTGTCAAGGACAATAACTGGTAATCAATAAATTTAACATAGAAGCAGAGATTTTTAATGCTATATGGTGTCCAATTTCTGTACGGTCTTAAGTTATAAGAAAGTTACACCAAAGCTACTTGACATGAATCAGAATTATGTAATTATTGTGGAAAGGAACTTTAGAGATCATCTAGAGCAGGAATTAGCAAACTTTTTCTGTAAAAGGCCAGATGATGAATATTTTAGGCTTTTTAAGCTCTATGATCTCTGCTGCAGACTACTTAATTCTCCTGTTGTAGTGCAAAAGCAACTATAGACAATAAGTAAACAAATGAGTGTGGCTGTGTTCCAATAAAACTTTATTCACACACACAGGAGGTGATCTGAATTTGACCCATGAGCCAGAGTTTGCCCAACCCCTGAACTAGAGTACAGACCCTTCTTTGATTATACAAAGCAACTACGGCCCAGAGAAGTTAAGCTGTTTGGGGAAAGGTCACCAAATAAATAGCAGAAGAGTCAAATGCAGTATTGTTTTCAAACCAGGTGTTCTTCAACAACACAAACTCATTTAAAATGATTTCATTTCCTCTAGCGCTGAAACAGAATCCTCAGTAAAATCTCAGAAAAATCAGGTGTTATAATTTATTTAATTAAGATCAACAGAATTTAATGAAATCTATTTTATTCAGGAATTAACTATCCATTAATCTACACACACACACACACACACACACACACACACACACACACACGTGTAATACTATTCTTGGAATACAGCATGAGTTCAATAAATCATGTTCTATGAATGCAAAATACAAATTTAAGTGCAATTCAATTTTAAAAATATACATGTGCTAAGATGCTTTCACTTAAAACTTTCATGATCTCAAAGAATATATTCCTATTAATTACCTAAAGGTGCAATACCTCTGTACCACACTAAGCAAAATAATTTTCAATTAAACCCCTTTTAAAAATCTATTTTTAAAACAGTGTGATACCTCTTCAGATAAGCTGTCATACCTAGTAAATCTGCTCCTTCATCCACGTCTCCAATCAGGCCTGAGCCAGCTGAAGACAGTTCTTCAAAGAGAGATTCTGTATTGCGATCAAAAGCTTTGTTCTCTATGCCTTTGGTGGGAGTGCTATGCAACAAAAACAACACAACCAAATCAACAAATACTATCAAGCCTTTTTTAACATTGTAAAATGAATACAACAGGCTAAGTTAGATAGGAAATTTTTAAACTTATAATTTACATTTAATACAAAATGCAATTTAAAAAGATTTCTCAAAGGTTTCCTAAGAAATTCCCATTAAACTCTACAGAGGTAACTGATAAAGAAAACAGAGAATGTTTTTGCAGTGAGATCCTAGCAAACATGATGGCATCACATCCATGAGTGAAAGAGGTAGGATTCAAACACAGGCAGTGAGGTCTCAGAATCTATGTTATCTACTATGTTCTATGCTGCCTGGGTATGAATTGGCATGGCTGTTTTATTTTTCTTTTAAGGGCAACTTGGTAGTTATCTATTAAAACTTTAAATGTAACACCAATAAGCCAAGAATCTGATGTCAAGAAAACGTCCTACAAAATCTCTGTCACAAGAAGGCAATTATGTACATAAAAAGAGAGTAAGAGCAGCATTTTTATAGTAGCAAAAAGCTGAAACAACCCAAGTGATCGTTAGTAGGGCACAGATGAAATAACGCATAAAGTTTAACTTTACACATAAAGTTAAAAAATTTTAACTTTTCAGTTAAAAACATTAAAATAGAGCCTTATAAATTAGAGAAACCCATTACATAAAGGTATTTTTTAAAAAGCAAGTTGCAAAACAGTACATATAAAACATAACACCTTTTTTGCAGAGCTGTAGAGGGACGTGGGATGTATATGTATGTTTGCATATTAATGTAATAAAAAAAGTCTATGCAAGATTTCCAATTAAACATGGTGAACTGAACATAGTAATTTATCACACAGTAATCCAGAAACTGAACTAAAATGACAGTAAAGGAATTAAAAAGGTGTACACTCACAAGGACACAGGGAATAGAGAAAGAAACTACAGCAGGTGAAATGTGAACAAAATTCTGTAAGATGGAAAACAGATGGGCAAAAAGGAGAAACTGATTTAACAGACAAGAGAAAGCTGAAACCTAAGCCACTGGGGGCTTAGGGAGGAAGCCAGTATGCTGCCAGAACCCTTGAAAGGCCTAGGAATTGAAGGAACTAGCAATCTGCTGAGAGAAGCATGCAAGGTGGACCATAAAGCTAGACGAATGGGATGAAAGATGACACAAGATGCAGTATGAGGCCTAGGTCCAATCTTCTAGAAGAGTGAGACCACCCTCCTCCCATCATACCTCCCTGAATAATGGAGGCCAAGTTTAAATATTATAGGCAGGAAACTGGGGAATCAGCATCATTTACTTAACTATGAGCAAAACAGCCACAGAGCAACAGGCATTTAAAGAAGGCCTCTATTATAAAAGAACCCAAAACAAATGGACTGTGACAGTGGCACTCGGAACAAAAGGAGAAAGTGCAGGCAGTGGTAGGAACTTAAAACAAAAACCAATTATTTTTCATAATAAATGTTGGAAACAAAGTTTTAGAGAAAAAAAATCAATGAGGGTTGAAAAATAAAGTTGACGAAATCATCCAGATATTAGAACCAAAAATAGAAGAGAGAGAAAAGAGGGGAAAATAAATTATGAGGGTCAGCCCAGGATGTTAAATATCCACTTAATAGGTGTTCCAGAAAGAGAGAGGAAAATAATAAGGAGAAATAGATAAAATTTCTCAGAACTGGGAGACAAAAATTTACAGATGAAAAACTTACTACATACAAGAACATTCGAAAGAAGACTTCTATACCAAGCACATCATCATAATTTTTTAAGAAAGAAGAAAACTACTGGGTTGTCGGAAAAGTCATGATGTATTTTTTTTCTATGTTTTTCATTGCAAAAAGGCGTCATGACTTTTCCAACAACCCAATAAAATAGGGCTAAACTAAAGATCCTAAAAGCTTCCAGGGAGAATGTACAAAAAAAGCAATATTGCAAACGGCTACAATCCAAACTCAACATGATAATAAAACATTTCTTCCCAATTCTGAAGGAAACTTCTGAAGGTTTTCCAATTTAATTCTGAATCCAATCCAACTATCAATCATGTCTTCTTCAAATAACATTTCTCACATTTAAGTTCTCAAAAAATTTACTTCCCGTGCCACCTTTGTCCATAAAGCTAGTAAGAAGCTGTTCTGTCAAAATAAAGGCATAATCAAGAAGCGAGATGATGGCTGGCTGAGTGGCTCAGTTGGTTAAGAGCGTGTGCTCTGAGCAACAGGGTCGCAGGTTCGATTCCCACATGGGCCAGTGAGCTGCTCCCGAGCTGAGCTGCCGCTGAGCTGCCAACAGCTGATGGCTCAGCTGGTGAGAGCATGTGCTCCTAACAACGTTTTCAGTTTGACTCCAGCATGGGATGGTGGAGTTAACTAAGATTGAACATGGCACCTTGAGCTGAGTTGCCCTGAGCTGTCTACGGGCGGCTAGATGGCACAGCTGGTGAGAGCATGTGCTCCTAACAACAAGGTTGCCGGTTCCACTCCCTCATGGGATGGTGGCCTATGCCCACCCACAACTAAAATTGAACACGGCACCTTGAGCTGAGCGGCCGCAAGCTGCAGATGGGCAGTTGGACGGCAACTGGACTTGGAGCCAAGCTCGCTGCGCCCTCCACAACTAAGACTGAAGGACAACAACTTGGCTGTTCCCCTTTCCCAATTCCCCAACACTGTTCCCCTTCCCCAAATCCCTATTAAAATCTTGGGGTGGGAAAAAAAAGAAAAATGTAAGATAACATGGGGTCAAAAAAAGAGAAGACACAAAAGAGGAGAGAGATGGAAAGGATTCCCAGGATGATAGGGCCAATTCCAGGACCAGAGAAAGCTCAACAACAGTCTTGACTGGAGAAGAGCAGTAAGACCCCCGGAGAGAGAGTGCCAAGAAACTGGTTTCGTGTTTGGCCATTTTGAGAATGTTTACACTTATGGTTTGAGGTACCTGTCAGTGAATTAGTGATAGGTACATAAGAAACGTAAGCAAAAGACACAACAACAACAAATACCCGAATCTTCACTAATTCCAGGAAAACATGGTTGTAAAAGAAAGAAAATATAATCACAGTATATTCTGTGGTTAAGCTGTGATTAGTATTTATATAGTCATAATGATATAAACAATGAATGTTAATTTAACAAAATTGAGAAATTATATTGGAAGGATGGTGGTTTAAGGAACTATATCCTTGTCATCTTCCACTCTAAAGTCAACAGCTAATGTGGCAACGTTTTCAACCAGGATTCCTCGGTTCATCCACAGGACACAGAAAATGATTTGAGTGACTATATTCTCAGTTCTCCCTAAGAAAGTACATTCACATAGCTAATACTATTCTAGATGCACAGGGGTGTAAATAGTTTATTAAATACAAGAGATACCTTAGGGCATTAGGACTTAATTTTCTTATAGAATCCCAGCTGAGAAAGAGAGGGACCAAGGAAGACTAGTGTAAGCATGTGATTTAGAAACCTGAAGATAAATAGCATAAAATAGCTGAGAAGTAAGAAAGATTACCTCTTGGGAGTGGGAGGGAGAGGTGGAAAGGGGCAACGGACTACTATTGCCCTTCATATTTTGTATTACCATTTGACCCTAATACTGAATAAATGGATTAGTATAATAAAATTTTTTAATTTTTAAAAAGAAGGTCAGAATGACAATCGCACAAACTGTTAAAAAGTAGCTGCATGTCCTTGGTTTAGGAGAGAATAGACAAGAAGCAAGTATTACTTGTTATATTGTAAATTGTTTAAATGTTTAAATAAAGGAAAAAATATTTTTACAGGGCACAGTCTTTGAAGTCAAAGAGTTTAGACTGAGGCCAGCTCTACTTCTTGCTAGCTTAGGAATCTTATACATTCTAAGTTTCCAGATCTGTAAAATGGGGATGAAGACTTGTATTTCATTTAGTTGTAATTAAGGTCAAATTACGTAAAATAATGATGATAATAGCAATAATATCAGCCAACATTTATTGAACTGGGCACTTTGCCAGTGATTTAACACATACTGATTCATTTACCTCTTACAACCATCTGAATGAAATATTATTATAAATCCCTTTCATAGATAAGGATACTTAACTTAGATTCAAATCCAACGCAGATTTGAGTCCACAGTCTTACCCTAGGCTCATGTTTTTTATCACTATAGTATACTGCACAATGTCTAGCAGAGTTCAATAAATGGCATGTATTTTTAATGGTCATTATTAATTAATTAAAGGGTAAGATTTATGGAAGAAATTCAAAGGCAGTAGCTCCTGTCTGACATTCTTGAACAATCTATTTCAGATGACCCTGATTAAGATGACATATAATCATTCTCTTCCCACTGTTAAATAGCCCCACCATGTAAAATGAGACTAATTTCTTCCAATAATGAGGTCATTACGCTTCTGAAGAGAGTACACTCTCTTCTTCCTGATCTGAAAGAAGGAACAAAGTTTGCTCAAATTGTTAATTCCCCCACTCCTGCTTCTGTTTCCTCAAGTTCCAGAAAGTAGGGGCTATCCCTTAGCTGTCTTTTTTCAGTCCTTTCACGTGCTCCTAATCCCTGATGCTGCGAAGGTAACAGTTCACAAAACATTTAAACCACATATGTCTACTCTCAAAAACAGGAACTGGGATATAAGACCAACATTTCTTCAGCTAAATATTTGGAAGCATTTTGTCTGGTCAGAGACCAGTGGACAACAGTGCGCTTCTGAGAGAGGAGAAAAGGAATGATGAAATGTCTCAATCTGACATTTGCAGTACCTTGAGCCTTTATATCCACTGAGATCTTTGTCCATATCCAACTCAGGTGTGGATTCAATGATTGCTTGAACTTCTGACTTCTCGTCATTTTCAGCAGAGCCTTAGGAAAGGACAAGATGACAAATAATGCACATATGACATACTGCCCCTAATATGAACATCCTGTTGCTTCTAGGATTGTAAATACATCATTTGATCATAAAAAAACCTGAAAGAGTGGATGCTAGGAAACACAGGTTAGACAATATGTCATATATTCAATTAACAGTTAACAACAGAAACTACGTAATAAATAACCAAAGAAAGTTTTCATTTGTATTTCTTGGGACACAGCACAGTGTATCCCAGACCAGACTCCCTGTTTTCAGTCCTATTTAAGGGGTAGAATATGGAGAAACCAAAGACAAAGGATTAATGATCTAAGACAGACACAGTAAAACACTGTCCTGCTACCTTACAGGTAACTCCGACCCTCCACCCCCAACATTTTTCTCTCCGAAACTTGATTCATCACCTCTTTTAAGCTTATTTACAATTGAGTAGGATGAATTATTTATCTATTTTATAAACCAAAAGCAGCAACACCCAGTGATGAATTTTCTCATGCCCACATCATCCGGATTTATTGAATACTTTACTTTGTAAGTAAAGAACAAGGGTCACTTACCTGTTGATACATTTCTAGTTTCTTGTGCTACCTGTACTTCAATATGCTTGCTTATATCTGACTTATTTGGTGTATCTGTAACCTTCACAAATCCTTCATTATCTTCCTTTAAGGGAGTATCAGTAGGAAGTGTTGCCACATCTGAAGCAGCAGTTGATGCTGGAGTGGTAGCTTTAGATCCTCCTTGGCTAACATCAGAGAGTTCATCCTACAAACCAAAATAATTACAGAGAAAAACTTTAAATAAGTAATTTATTTTAAACCATTTTAAAAATGGGTTAAAAAACAAACTTCCTAAGAGAAAATTCTATTTAAAAACAGTAATAAAGAGTCACTGATTACCAAAGGAAATAATCTCTACAGACTAATGAATAATAATGAAGACTCTCTACAGACTATTCAAATAATTGGGAAATATTTAAATAAATCACATTTTTTTGGACATACATGAGATTCTTCTAAATAGAAAATGTGAAGATAAAAGTAGACTGGCAGTATTAGCAATAATATTATACCTTAAATCCACATCAGAGTTTTTAAAGGCAGCTGTAATAATGTACAACCACTTGATAATAAAAACCTACTCCAAAACACTTAAAGTATGTACTGTGTAGTAACTGCTCTAAAAAAGCAGTGGAATAAGATTCTCAAATCTCAGGAGTTTTGTAAAAAATGTTCTTAAAACATCCTGCTTATAGCACATTTGAAATATTTGTTAAAAGGGAAGATTCTAAGTCCAACTCCAGACTAGGCAGTAAGATCAGGTAATGTGCATTTTAACGAGCAACTCGGGTGATTTACATATTCACTAAAATTTGGTAACTACTATTCTAGGCTCCACAGATAGGCTTCTAAAGCTACATGCCCAGGGGCTGGCCTAGTGGCTCAGTTGGTTAAGAGCGCGAGCTCTGAGCAACAGGGGTGCTGGTTCGATTCCCACATGGGATGGTGGGCTATGCCTACCCGCAACTAAGATTGAACATGGCACCTTGAGCTGAGCAGCTGCAAGCTGCCAACGGGCGGCCGGATGGCGACTGGACTTGGAGCTGAGCTAGCTGCGCCCTCCACAACTAAGACTGAAGGACAACAACTTGGCTGGTCCCCTTCCCCAATTCCCCAATGAAACCTTAAAAAAAATAAGATAAAAAGCTACATGCCCAGATTGAGGTTATATGCAGAATTTGTGGACCGCACATTTTTCTGAGAAAAGAATCTATAACTTTAATCAGATTTTCAAAAGGGTTTGTGGCTCCAAAATCATTAAAAGCATTGTCTAATGACTACCAATAATGAGGTTGTTCTTTTAAAGCAAAGTACCCAGGTCTAAAAAAAAAAAGGCTGAAAAAAGTTTACTACTAGTAATAATAATACAGATTAAGGTAAATTTACTGAATTTACCATTGACTAAATGCATGACTTTGGGTGAATCGTGTATTCTTTCTTTCTTTCTTTTTTTTTTTTTTTTAGCTGAACCATCCTGCTACCTGTTGGCAGCTCAACGGCAGCACAGCTCAGGCTGGGAATCGAACCACTGTTGCTCAGAGCTCACACTCTTGAGTGAGCTCTTAACCAACTGAGCCACTCGGCTGGCCCTTTCATGTATTCTTTCTATATCTATGTTTTCTCATCTGTAAAATACAAATAATGGTATCTAATTCATAGGACTATTATAAGTTATTCTATATAAAGACTTAGCAATGTGTTCACACATACTGTTTTAAAATGTTCACTATAATTTATAACAATACATTATGCAAAACTGAAAATTTTGAAATGCATGCTTTTGGAGGGAAATAAACATTAAGTTGTGTTACGGTAGGAGGTGATTATTAGTGATTTTTATTTCCCTCTTTAAAAATTTATCTTTTATAGTTTTTAAATAACAGTGTTAAAAATGCATTATGGTTATAAAAATAATGAAACCGAATCCAGGCAATGAAAAAAAAAACTAATACTATAAACCAATCAAAAGTACATACACACTCCATGGCTTTATATTACACTATCTTTGAGATTTATGTTATTTTAGGTGCCGAGAAGAGGGTGTTCAAATTCAAATTTAAAACTATTCAAGTATAAGAAAACATTTTTGGCACAGAGTCAGCTATACATGCTATATGGACAGCAACTACAAGGAAGGCAACCATACTTGGAGAACTCAACTTCATCACCAAAACTCTTAAGTTTTACAACATTAAAACGTTTTCATCTCCACTGTTTTCTCTCAATATAAATTTACTATCATGCATTCTGATGTAGCACAAATTTCACTACCAAGAGTAGCTGAACAAATATAAAATCAACAGGGCCGGCCGAGTGGCACGATGGTTAAGAACTGGCTTGGGACGCTAGAGGGCCCCGGTTCGGATCCCACATATGAGGGCCAGTGACACTGCCCTCCACAGCTAAGATGCTGAACAACAGCTCAACCTGGAGCTGGGCTGCCATGAGTCACTGGCGATGGCGTAGGCTGCAGCCCCTGCGGCAGTGGGTTGCCATGGGCTACCGTGTGTAGACAGCAGCCAGCGTGAGCAGCCAGCAGCCGCAGTGAGCGGCCGTCCAGAAGCCGGCGACTGATCTGCCTCGCCTGGGAAGAGCGCAATGATGGTGCCAACTTGGGCCAGTGAAGCAACGTCCTCCACAACTAGACTGAAGAACAAAACGACAGCAACTTGTCTGTTCTCCTTCCCCCAATTCCCCAATAAAAATCTTTAAAAAAAAATTAGCTGACTTGTACAGCCAACTATCCTCTTCTGTGCATCCCCAATACTGGGCTGATTTCCAATGGGAAGAGAAGACAAACCAAGGAAATAAGTAGTTCAATGCCCTATCATCTCTACCCCTCTTAAAATTAAAAGACAAAATTGCTAACTATTTCCTTGACCTGGTGACTGGCACCTAATATGATAGTATCTGCTAAAAATTTACTAAGTCAAGCAAATTAGCTTGTTTGAAGATGAGTCAGAAAAACTGACAATAATATTCCTGAGGCCAAAGAGGCCTATAGTGAAGACAACTAGAAGCCCCTGAGTACCACTGCTTGGTCTTTGCTTTGATGTGCACTCTATTAAAAAAATAAAAGTGGTAGTATATTGGTTAATCAAACAGCCTGGTTAATTCATACTATGTTATCATATATATGAATTCTTGTTCTTTGAAGTTTTAAAACATAAAGTACATTTAAAAATTAACATAAAATAAACAATCCAGGTTTCTGATGCAGTGTTGATGAACAGCAATTAAACCCATCGAGCTAGGGCTCAGAAAGCCCTAGGGAATATCAAGTTTGTCTACACTGAGAAAATGATAGTTTTGAAGCTATTTGAGAAAATAAGTTGAGGTCAATCTTGCACTTGTCATTCACCTCTCAAATAAAAGTCAAGTAGAGAAGTTACTTCCTCTTCTTCCTTATCACCACCTCACCCCCCAAGGTCTAGTTATTATTTTACTTAAGAAAAAAATTACTTAGCAATGAAAGAGTTCACAATATCAACAGTATGGCAAAAGCCCTCCTCCCTAGGTTCATTTGTGGACCTGGGAGAATGAAATAAACCAACTAGGAGTGCTGAACCTGAAACAGGAAAAGGATTGTGACTATGAACCTAAAACACAAAAAGGATCTCAAGGTTTAGGGCTACAAGGAGTGGTAAATTAGGATCTGCTAGAAGAAAATGATGTTTTAAATTTGTCTGTCCTAGGCTATCCATATAACAGGAGATTTATTTCTCTGCAACTTATTCCCCTTTTATACTTTTATCACATAAATATATTTTACACTCATTAAAATAGCTCACTGTGTGGGCTGTGCTTTCTGACAACTAGATTCCCAAGGGTAGAGCATGATTGCTGCAGAGGGAAAAGCTCTGAATTTTAGGGGATAGTTGTCAAAAGAGGTATTTCTCCTTGGTCTCCCTGGCAGTTGACATAAAACTTCTAAGATTAGCAGGAAAGCTCTGAAATGAGAAATCTCTGCTACTGTGTTTGGCTGGGGGTGCAATATTCTTATATTGCATTCCCTATGGCAGGAACTATAAAATTCAGTCATTAACAACGCCTGCAACTAAAGAGAACAAATAAAGACAAGCCTAAATATTAACCTATTAAAAGATAAGATATATCACTTTTGTTCAACAGTAAGCTCATTAGATACCACGTGCAAGGTGAAGGAAAATTCTTACTAGGATCTAAGTGGAAACTGGAAACATTTATGTGAATTACTCAATATAAAGTTACAGGGAAGTCGCCTGCTATTATTTCATATACATTCAGTGGCTTCTGGAGACTTCCGATTCCTATTTTATGCCAGTCATATGCCAGGTTGTGCTGTTTTGGCTAATAGTCTTGACTACAAATTTATTTATCTGATGACACTGGTCTATCAATTCCAGTTGCCTGATGTGATTCAGGTATTCTCTTCAATGGCTGGTGGGTGCCAAACATGGACACTTACACGACTGTCAAGTCTTTCTGATAAATGCACTTATTTTGTAACCCCACTTCTCCCTTCAGTCTTTAAGTGACTCTCACATTGTAGGCTGTGTGTGTCACTGGAGATTGTCCACAGGAAGCAGGGACCTAATTTTGGGATTCCAGTGCTATAACTATAAAGGAATGGCAATGCTGTGCATATTGAAGTTGTTAAAAGAACAGGTGTCATTCAAAGATGTTATACAAAATAGGCAACAAGCATATGAAAAGATGCTCAACATCATTAATCATCAGAAAAATACAAATCAGTATCACAATGAGATGCCACCTCACACCCATTACGATGGTTACTATTCAAAATAATAATGATAATAATAATAACCTATAAAATAACAAGTGTTGGTGAGTTGTGAAGAAATTAGAACCCTTGTGCACTGTTGATGGGATTGTAAAATGGTGTGACAGCTATGGAAAACAGTTAGTAGTTTGTATATAAAATTAAAAATAGAATTACCATATAATCCAGGTGACCCCCTTCTGGGTATATAGATATCCATACTAATTGAAAGCAGTATCTTGAAGAGATATTTGCATACCTATGTTCATAGCAGCACTATTCATGACAGCTAAAAGGCATAAGCAACCCAAGTGTCCACTGACAGGTGAAGAATAAACAAAATGTGTGTACATATAATGAAATGAACCAAAGGATGGAAATCCTGTCACATGCTGCTATGACACGGATGAACCTCGACGACATTTTGCTAAGTGAAATATGTA